ACTGTTTGCTTACCAACTGTGAATTTGATTGATCACTTATTTTCTACAATCGTTTATGCATCTAGTTCAGGGAATCAGAATGAGAGATAGAGCATATTGGTAGCCATGTGAGATTTGAGCCTGCTCGTTTCTTTCTTGTGCGATAGATCCCTCTTCCATAATGTGTAGCATTCACATTGCCACTAGTTAGGCTGATGGAGGCATAGGATTAGCCCACGACCAAATTGACTATCCTGTGTCATACCCCCAAGTCAGCCCCTTTGAGCCGTGTAACTTTCTTTCTTTCAGTCTACAATGAAAATCACCCTTATGCATCTCTTAGAGGTTCCACAGAGTGGTTTTTGCATGTTTTCTGTTGTTTTCTACTAGAAAATAATATGAGGGTTGGAGGTAGTTCTAAAAAGTTGGGCAAGTGTTTGAAAAAATGTGCAAAGGTGGTGGTTCTCTCAAGAAATGAAAAAAGCAAAAAATATAGGAAAGCAAAAGAGAGCCACCATAAAAATATGAAACATGCCCATTAAGTAGTGTTCTTAGCGGTCTGGCTTAAAAATACTAGCATCATTGTGACCTCCTTCACTCTTGTACTCTAAAGAACTAGATTAATGCAGAATGGCAGAAGGAAAGTAAATGTTTTGAACGATTGTTACTGTGTTGGTTTTGGAAATGTGGAACCTTGTGTTATGAATTCTTCCACCACTTAAAAGGCATTTTCCCCATGTCCAAGACCCTAGCCAATCATCTGAACCCGTGTCTAAGACCTCCTAATTAGTTAGTGGTGATCTCGGATATGTGAACTCTACCAATTAGAGGATGTCGTCATGGTGAAGAGACATTAGGGATTGAGAGAATAAGCATGCACATTTTTCGCATCAAATTGTCCTGGCCCCACTGGTCGAGAGTGAGCGATTCATTTCCGTATATTCTTTACATTCTTTACCCCGGTGAGGACCTAGATTGCTCGGTCTTGATTGATGTCTTGAGTTTTATGCATGAGCTGACTGTCTTGAATAAGTGGTTAAGTCAAGTCCATGTTGGTTGCTGAACAGAGGGGAGACTCTTCCTTTACTCGATTTTGCTGCACTCGAATGTCATATGTGGTGGTTGTCTAGGTTGTCATTGAGGTTGTTCATATGTTGATATCTAAAAGCTAGTATGATTCACATGTTTTGTGCCTATATGTTATGTCCCCAAAGTTTGCAAGATTAAAATATTTTGAGCTTACCTTGTATCTTACTTGGATTGCTTGGGGACAACCAAACGGTTAAGTGTGGGGAAATTTGATAACGTTTTATTTGCACATGTTTGCACCCTCGTGTCTTTGGCCTATTTTACGCTGAGGTGCGTTCTTTTGTCATATTTCAGGTCCCAGACGTCAAAGGAAGGTCTAGGCGTGAGTTTCGGGTCGTTTGGAGGTCATTCGGTGCAGCTGGAGCAAAACACGGACAACCTCACTAAGAAACATGGTCGTGGTAACTGAGGGGCACGCCAGTTCTTTTTAGTGCGCGAGTAAAACGATGCATGGGGCAAAACACGGGCGCCATTGCCCTAAAGCACGGTCGTGTACCGCGCCAGTTTTTTTACTGCCGAGAGCTGTGCGGACTGCTGCTGAAGAATTCAAAACACGGGCAGTCCTGACCCAAAGCACGATCATGTGCCTCATTGGTCACGATCGGGTTCTCCTTAGAAATGACCGTGTTTTCCCTACGACATTCTGAGTTTTCCCACGTGATTTTTCAAAACACAGGCGAGATAATTTGGACACGACCGTGTTTTGCCTATCTCGAGTTGAACTGGCAGTCTAGAACTAAAAGAGGGGGAATCAAATTTTCATAGCAAAAAAAAGAGTTCTGGAGAGAGAAAGTGTAAAGAACAAACCCTAGGATCGATTTTAGAGCTGGGTCATCAATCAAGCTTGTATTTCGACCTTGGAGTGAAGATTATCATCCCAAACCTTATCGTACACATCATTATGAGTATGATTCCTCTGATTGTTGTTTTCTCTCACTTGGGTATGAAGAACCCTAGTTCCATGTGTTAGGGATTTAAATTGTATTGACTTTTGGATTGATATACTGTTTGATTATAATCGATTGAAGTGTGTTTATTGAGTCAATTGAATCCTAATCAACTGCTTTTGATTTATGTTGCAGCCTGAGATACATAGAATCTGATTAGGTTGTTAGATCTTTTTCAATCGATAGGAGTGAATTGATTGTACGAGAGTCAGTCAATTTACTGCTTTGTACTGGAATCTAGTTCCAATAGTGGAGTTCTGTGTGAATCGCCTTAGCAGTCTATCCCAGTGAAGGCTAGTCATCTGCCAGGTAGTCTGTTTTAGAGGGCTTGGTCGGCTTAAGAGATTTCAAGCTACTGTCGGATCTTCCGCAATTTAATCAACAGTAAATCAACCAAAGGAAATTACAACTTGGACCTAACCAAGGAGTTAGGGGGGCTCATTCCGGAGTGACTCTTCTCTTGCTTCAGAAAACCAGACAATTTACGGCTTCCTTTCTGATTACTTTGAATTCACCTACATTCACTTAGTCTCGTTAGATAATAGATAATCACGGAGTAGGCGGTACATCTAGGCCCTGGGTTGACATTTATTACTTGATTCCACTATATTTCATTTCCATTTTATGATTACACTTGGTCGTAGTTTGGTGTAGTGTCGTAGCGAGTCATCATTGTCGGCTAAATAACTCTAGAGCTTACACCGCTCTAATACAAAAATGAATTTGGATGATAGATTATGAGAGGAAGCTCAATAAACTCCGCGTCCTTGATTTGTTTTTATAGCTAGGAAAGCAATTAAACAAACCACGACAAGTGTCTTTACATGAATGGCAGGATGTTTAAATAAACAGTAATGGTTAACGACTAACTACTATGCTGTCGTTTTCACTCTTTTCTTTTGCACGACTCTCCTACACGACGTCGTTCTTCTCTTCTCTTCTTTCCAACTCCAATCCTCCTGCAACTAGGATTGCAACTTATCCATTCTCTTCTCATCTACAACTAGAATTGCAGCTTCTCCATTCCCTTCTCTTCTGCAACAAATATCAAGACCACCAATTCCTATGCACCTCGGTTCCTCCATAACTATATTATTAATGATTCGAATGACATTTTAAATTCTTTCTCATAAGTAAATCCATCCCCATTAGGTTGCTACTTGCTTGGTCGTGATGACTTAGTGACTAGCTCATACAAGACTTAGAAATGCTTAAAAATGAACCGACCTTGAATCGAACATTTGACGCCTGCCCAAAGTGCATTGAAATGGTTGTGCAAATCGACAAAGGGTCTTATTGACCTGTTAGTCATCCAATGATCAACTTATGAGTAGTATTTTAGAGAGATAAGTATATATGAGAGATCTTAGAGAGAGAATCAGTTAAACTTAAATGTGGCACCTTCTTACTATATACAGTCGAAAGCCCTTCGATATCTTTCCTACTACTCTGCCAATTGCTATATTACCATTTAATGCCCCCACACTCCCATTTGGGTATGACCCTGGACAACGAAGTCTTATTGACAATGTTATAATAATAGGGTCGGATAGAATCTCACTGGTAGAACCGACAACCAATCTCCAACCCCAACTTGATCAGGCCATTTAACCGTTAAGAGTGAGTCTAACTCTTTGTAAACAAGCCGACCAGTTAACTAGATAAGCCGTTCAAATTGTTTGGGTAGGGGTGGGGGGTCCAAAAGAGCTATTGTTTGTTTGTGTTCCAAATGTAAGTATTACAACTAAGTATTTTTTTTTTTATATAAGAATGATATTGGTTACTTTTTGTGATTAAGGTATTATTTAAGAGATTCAAACCTATGACCTTCATATTCTATGCTAGTGGTATTATTACTAGACCAATTGTTTGTTCGTAAGTAACTTTATTTTTTAAAATAATGATTTTACTTGCCAGATATAATTATGTTAGGAATATATAATAATAAATATATAATTATAATACTATTAATGATTGCAAACTTATAATATTTTTGTTTTTCAAACACCAATTCGTCAAACAGTTGCATGACCTATGAACCTCATTATGCTTGGCCGCATTCGACGCCAGCAGGTGAACTTGTGACCTTTTTCTTATTTTGGATCGGGTGAGTTTGATTCAAGTATTGAAAAATTGTAACAGATGTACCGGAAATGTCAGAGGGTATTTTAAGTTGAATTGTAGTTTAATTGCGGTTTAACCGTTTTATATTGTAAAATACTGCTGGTCAATTTTGCTTTTGGTTGGAGATTTTTCTAGTCGAACCATCGGTACTATACGATTTTTCGATCCTTAGTTTGATCACTTCCATTACATTTTCCTTCTTGTACCAGGTGGGCTTGATCACCTTATAATGGGCCCAGCAAAAACAAATGAGAAATTTGGGGTTATAAATATTATCAATGCAGTCAAAACCGTGATTCTATGTAAAAGTGTTTTGGTGACCAATAAACGTAGAAACGTAAATTTCAAACTTTAAAGTGTAAATTTTGACAACAATTTTAAGTGTAAAGTGTGATTCTCCGGGTTTTGGTAACCTTAAAATTATACAAGCATGCAGCGATATTTTGATCACACTGCAAACGATAAACTAGACATTCTCTAGTTTCTATATAAAAAGAGAGATAGGAAAATGTTGGAAGGAGTGGAGAAGAAAACACAAACTAAAACATAAGAAGTCAAAACAAACGAGTCCAAGAATTGTTCTTGATACAAAGTTTCCAACATACTCCAGCAAGTCGGATCGTTGCTACTTTAAATTACCATAAAGCCTTGAGGATATGAGGTGTAGTATTACACTAGTAGTACCTTGCCATTGTGATAGCAAACATTCATCTTGTTGCCTTTTTCTTATGGATCGATTGTTGTCCTGCCAGTGCCAAAGAAACATATGCCCATCACAATAAAACAAATCGCCAAAAGGAACCTCAGCATCGGTGATCGGTGGCAATACATTTAGTGACGGGTTCCAACCGTCTCTAAACATATACAGGCAAATTTATATTCTAGCTCCTGCAATTCCATAATAGTTGTCAAACAAATCAAAGATCATCAAACAGCGACTTTAACTCAAGCCACTGAAATCTTAATCCAATCATCAGGTTATAAAATCCAAAGTAGCACCTGTGTCACAAAACAAGCACAAAATCATAACTCTCGATTCTGTTGCTCAACAAGTCTTGGAAGCAAAATAGACTTCATTACACTCTGATAAACTTCCTACACTTGTTCACTATATATGTTTCCATGCAACTTGCATCTGCACTAAGAATCCTGCACCAACAATTCCCAATGCCACGCACTCGATGTCACTGAATGTAATGTAATGGATGGATCCCTGCACAATCAATGAGAGCAGTCAAACAAACTGTACGTACTGGAATAATTAATTAAACAAACCAAGCCAAGCCAAATGAGCACAGTCAAGACATATATTGTTGCACTTGTCTTATCTTGGAACCAGTCTCAATCAAAGACTTACACGTACGTACGTACGTACGTACATCAAAGAGGCGGCCCTTCTTCATCAAACCTGAAATCTGCCCTTAATGTCAGCACAGCAGACAACGTTGCTGGTAAACTGTAGCGCTCATTCACATCATCGTTAGTACATAGCCGAGCGATAACACAAGCTCTTCTCACCCCATCCATGTTAGCCCTTCCTTGTAGTCTGCCATCAACCACCCTAGTGAAGTCGTTATTGTTCATAGCCGCATTTATCACTGGTTCAGCCTGCATTCAGCAAAGCACAAAAACATGCATTTAATTAGTTAAAGCCTAAAATGAGACCTAGCTAGCTAATCCTTCCTAAAGGGTCGCTTCGCTACTGCTTTGACTTTCTAAATGCATACATACCCATTTGGCTAACTCGCGTCCTGGGGCTCTGTTCACCTCATAAGCTGTTTGTCCCGTGACGAGCTCCAACAGAAGTACCCCGAAGCTGTATACGTCAGTTTTGAAACCGACATTTGTCTCGGGGGGACAGTACCCTATCGTCCCCTCCCGTATTCTCAATTTAGGAGGGTCGTCCGGCCGTATCACCTTTGCAAATCCGAAATCCGAAAGTTTTGCGTGAAACTCCTCATCTAGAAGTACGTTGGACGACTTGATGTCTCGATGCACTATATCGTTATTCTGTAAGTAACTCAATCCCTGGATCACCTCACATGCAATATCTAGTCTAACATTCCATTCCAGTAACTGTCCATTGTTGACATCTGGATGCATGTGACACAAACCACCAGTTAGCTAGAGTCTCAAACTACAGGAGAGAAGAAAGCTAACCATCCAAGTATACTATTACTAACCATGGAGGTGTTTCTCCAAAGTTCCAGAGCTCATCCGAGGGAATACGATCGAGTCCAAGCCCCTCGCCATGCAGAATCCAACAGGTCGAATGACACTAGTGTGCCTAACAGTGTACAAAATGTTTAACTCGTTTTCGAGCTCTTCTATTCCTTGTGGCCCATTCTCATTGATGACTTTGACAGCAACCTAAAGATCGAGACGAGATGCAGTTATGAAAAGAGGCAGGGAAATCCGAAGGATTGAGAGTTTGCGGAGGTAATTCCCAAATAAACAGAAAGCAAAAACCACACACAGCACACTACAGGTTTGACAGCAACCTCAAGATCAAGATGATCGAGATGCAGCTGTAATGAAAAGAGGCAGGGAAACCCCAAGGAAAGGATTATTGGAGTTCGATCGCGGAGATAATTCCAAACAAACAGCAAACCGGAAGGATTGGGACTTCGTTGCCGGAGATGATTCCAAGCAAACAGAAAACACCACACAGCACACTAGCGGACACAAAGGGCGGAGACCCTAGATCTAATTTGCATCCAAGCATTCAACCAAAACAGTAGCTAACGGCCAAGAAATACGGGAAAGAGAAGCTTGCCTCGCCGTGTTCTGGCAGAGCTCCACCAAAGATGGTGCCGCACCCTCCGTCGCCGAGTTGATTCCCTTGCTCGATGATTTGTTGGAGCTCCCCTGGCTGGAAAGCGGTCAAGTCTCCCGTCGGGGGAGTGAACTCCAGAAAATCTGAACAAGAAACAAAATGCAACGCTGTGAGATAGAGACGACGATCTAGCTAGCTAGCTAGTTGTAACCATCTAAGCAACAGACAAGGCAATCATCACCTCGCCTAACCCTCGCTCGCTGTCCCGCGCAGAGGCCGCCCATTGGATTTCCGAATTTCTCAAGCTCTTCGTCTTCTTGGGGAAGAAGAAACAAGAAACGACTGAGAGGACTGAGAGTGAGTGAGAGAGAGAGAGGGGAGAGAAATCGCGTGCCCGGCTTTTGTCCAGCGGTACGTAGCATGCTGTCAGCTAATGTTCGAAACGGGTCACCTAAATTTTGGAGAACTACAAAATGGTCACCAATTTTCTAATTCCTTTCACTTTCCGAATTTCCCCAACTATACATGGACAATCGGTGACGTGAGTGGATTTACCAATTTCATTCACTTTATCACTATAAATTTATGTTGTCGTACTAGTAACGGATGAAAATCGGTATGGTATCATAATGTTGGTGTCCAATACAAATACCAAACATTTAGTTCTAATAGTTACTATTAGTCAAAAAAAAAATTCCATTTACTGTTTTACCGTTGTTCATTGTCACTTAAAAGTTTACTAAAATCACTTGGGTGATATTCGAGTATAAACTTCACAATTAAGTGGATGCGGCGGTACATAATAAAACGATAATTTTTACCAACGTTTTTATTATTTGCCGCCAAATTATTTAAGTTTAATTTTTATTTAAAACCTGCTTCCACAAATAATTTTCTCAATATAATCATATGCCGAGCTCCTTAATTATCAGAAAATGAAAAACCAAACACTCATTGGTGCGTTGTCGAAACTCCCAATTCGATTTGACAATTTCGAAAGGTTTAACAAATTTTCATCGCGATTGGAAGCAATTAATTAATCAATCAAAGATGATTAATTATTAAGAATAATTTTTAATAAAAATGAAACTCATTAGTGCGTTGTCGAAACTCCCAATTCGATTGGAAGCAATTAGTAAAAAAAAACTCATTGGTGCGTTGTCGAAACTCCCAATTCGATTTGAAAATTTCGAAAGGTTTAACAAATTTTCATCGCGATTGGAAGCAATGGCACACAACTACGATGTTATTTCTGGCAGCTTCATTTTTGGAGAGGGAGAGAATAGGAAGGTGTTGTCCTTAGAGGACGAGGATGTGGCTCGTTTTTATGCCCTTCCTCACGTTGGGGAAGAAATAGTGCTGGAGAAGTGCCTGTACAAAACCAAGTTGTCGGCTTTTCAAGCCGAGATTGGGATGGGAGGAAACAGGTGCCGGAATTTCTCTCTGAGTGATATGGTGGACAAGTTAACGGATGAGAATGCTAGGCCTCCTGTTCGTAAGGCGGTCAAGCAGTTCATCCTGCTTGCCCTTGCCTCACTGCTGCGACCATCATGGTCACGGATTTGTGAGCTTGACTATGCAGAGTTTCTCCTTGGGAAGATTGAGCGGGTAAAATGCTACAACGGGTCCGGTCTTGTTGTAGCGGAACTGAAGAGTAGTCTTGCTTCATTTCAAGGAAAGGCATTCCTTGACTGGGTCCATGGAGATGTCCACTTCCTCATTGTAAATTTTAAGTATTTGTTCTTTCATTTATATTTTTGAATATGTGTGATTGTTTTGAATATTAGTTTTATGTGCTTGAATAATACTTTGAATGTGTTTGAATATGAGTGCGAATGTGCTTGATTATATTGAGTGTATGTTATTTGAATATGACTCTATTTTTTCTGAATATGAGTCTGAGTTATTTGAATATTACTTTGAATGTGTTTCAATATGAGTTCGAATGTACTTTATTATAGTGTATGTTATTTGTGAATATGAATCTGTTTTTTTTTAATATGAGTCTGGGTTATTTGAATATGAGTTAGAATGTATTTGAATATGTGTTAGAATGTTTTAGAATATGAGTGCGAATGTTTTTGAATATGAGTTCGAATGTGTTTGAATATGAGTCGAACGTGCTTGATTATAGTGTATGTTATTTGTGAATATGACTGTGGTTTTTTGGAATATGAGTCTGGGTTATTTGAATATGAGTCAATATTGTATGAATAGTCTTGGTTATTTGAATATCAGTTCAATCTGATATGAATACTACTGTGTGTTCTATGAATATGGGTCTGAGTTGTTTGAATATCACTTTAATCTTGTCTCGCCATTTAAATTCTTTTTTTCTCCCCAATCTAACATCTTCCTCTTATTTGGATAGCAGGTCCATTTGTTGGATTTTTTGAAGGTCAAAGGTGTTGGGACCTTCATCACCCCAACCTGTAGCTACTGGTTCAAGGATCGTCAAATGAAGGTTGTTGAAGCCATCCATGCCATGGGCAGTGGGGGGATAGCAGATTTGTTGATGACAAGACCAGAGATTCAACAGAGGTTTGGTGGTTCTGTTGGAGATAAAGGGCAAAGCAGCACACAGGCTCCTGATGCTCCTGAATTTTACAACTCTTCTTGGTGGGAAAAGAACGACTTGGAGCGCATGGATGAAGATCAGGTACGTTTTACTTTTTTTTTCGAACATACTAGAGTAAGGTAGATTGCATGAACTAAAAAATTTACACATACTTGTAGCTTAAGGTGTTGAAGTGCATGAGTGAGTCCATGTTCAATAAGTGGAAGGCACGGCTTGCAAGATTGGAAACATGGAGCCCCAATGTGGAGAGGAATGAGTAGCTTTCATGAAATTGGATGTAATAGATGTTGAGATTTGGGTAGTTTGAATAATTTGAATACTATTTCCATGTACGTTGAATACTATTTCCATGTACTTTGTTAGGATGATGGAAAAATGTTTAGCGTTCTTGTTTGAATACTATTTTGATGTTTTATTTAGTACTATTTGGATGAGATTGAATAAAGTGTGTTATCAATGTCCTAAATACCTATTTTCTGTCTTTTTCTAGCTAAGGGTTTGCCGTAGTGTGTGTCTTCATGAGGGGAAAAGGTGGCTAGAGTTGACCACACAAATTGGCCACATACTTGAGAAAATGGCTGAGAAGAACAAGCCATCTGAGCAGGATATTGAGGAGCCAACGACGGAGGAGGTTCCTTTGCCCTTTGTTGAGCCTCCTTCGTCATCTGTGGAGCCAACTCCGGGGAGACGCCCACTCCGGCGTCCGTGGAGACGCCCACTCCGGCGTCCGTGGAGAATCCCACTCCGGTGTCCATGGAGAAGGCTACTCTGGTGCCCGTGGCGGCTCCAGTTACTTACCAGCGAAGAAACCCTGTTCCAAGTACTACTTCTTTAGCACCAACGGTGGAGGTGGTTATTGAAGGAGACGAGGGGGAGCTTACGACCATACAATGGAAGAGAACGGACATGAAAACTCCGCAAGTTGGACCCTTTGCAAAAGGCGATAGTTGAGTTCGCACTCAGTACGATAGATGAGAACGAGTAAGTATTCAATTGTTATCCAATCAATATTTATTTAATAATTTACACGTGCGTTTTCATAAAAGTGTGTTAAATACTTTGTCCTTTTTACAGTTTGCGGAATTTATAGAGACTGCGAAGTGCAAGGTGTGCCGGTTTCATTTGCTGAGTTTGAAACGTACTGTGTGGCTGAATCATGTCATTGTTGAGGCATTTGGATACTACCTCAACGACCTGAATGTTATGAAGAATGAGAAGCTGACAAAATGCATCTTCCCTATGATTTTTGTTGTAAGTAAAATTAGGCTTTCAATGCATGTCATGAATAACCACCAGCACACATAGCAAGTACTCCAACAAAAAGTTGCTTCACCATGTGCCATGTTCTTCTGTCTTCGCTTGTTCAGATGGTTCTTTTTGTCATTCTTCGAGAAGTTAAGATTTTCCTAACTACCAGCACACATAGCAAGTAGCTTGTAAGAAGAGCTCAAACTAACACCAGCATCCGCATTGGCTTCAACCATCAGACCTTCAGCCTCACTAACACTTTTGTTAGACCTCAAAAACTGTGCATGCTTCTTTGAGTGCAGTTCATGATTGTGTATATTGTTGAAATAACTAACCACGAATGCATTCCTATTGACATCCCACCAAAAGGCAACACGAGCTGTACACCCAACCCTTAACTCGTTTCTTTTTCTCTTATGCTGGGTTTTAACAATGACACTATCCTCCGGTCGTTTCTTAATGACCTTTGGATTTCTAGTACTCAACTTCGAAAAGCCTTGTTTGTTGCAACAATAGTAAAGGTACCAATACTTTTCCTCAAGCTCTCCCTTGTCGTTCTTACGCAACCTTGTGTGTTCGTTGTATACTCGAACACCAAAACCTCGGTCATGGCCATATCTTGAATAGAAGCTCTTGCAATCATCTACTGTATTGAATTGCAAGTTCTTCCTTAAGCACTCATCTTCTAGTGCTGCATAGCCTGTCATTGAAATTGCACAAATGAATACAATTAGTCAAATCCAACCAATAAAAGTATTCAATACAAGGTCAACTAATATTCTTTCACAAATGGATGTGTATTTCAAACGAGGTCACCTAATATTCATTACTATCGAATGAATATTCTTTAGAATTTCAATAAATATTCATTACAATGTCAACAAATATTCATTAGAATGACAACAAATATTCATTACAATTTTATTAATATTCATTACAATGTCAACAAATATTCATTACAATTTCATGAATATTCATTACAATGTCAAAGAATATTCATTACAATGTCAATGAATATTCATTAGCATGTCAACGGATATTCTTTAAAATGTCAACGAATAGTCATTACAATGTCATTGAATATTCTTTAAAATGTCAATGAATATTATTTTAAAGATAAATGCATATTCATTAAAAGGTCAGCAAATATTCTTCTAAAGATGAAGGCGTGTTCATTAGAATGTATATGAATATTCTTTTCAAGATGAATGTGTATTCATTAGAAGGTCAACGAATATTCTTATAAAGATGAAGCGTATTTACGGCTAACTAAAATTTTGTACCAACTAATATTATGTACCAACTAATATTCGATGACGTAAAAGTAATATTCATGAAATTTAAAAAGTAATATGGTCATTACAGCTAACTAGTATTCATGCAAGCGATATTCATGTTTCTGTTCATCCACCAGTGATATTCAGGATAGAACAACCAAGTATTCATGCAAGCACAGAACACCATGCAATGAAGAAACCCTAAAACATAATAAATGCAAGCACCATAAATGTAAACCCTAACACATTCAATGCTGATCAACAACCAAAACATATATAAGTCTAAATGGATCTGTTTTTTTGGTCTTCACATACCCCCTTCTATTTCATCAACTACGGCCATCCATTCTTGCGAGCCCCACAAACCATCAGATGAACCATCCTCTTTGAGGATGGTATCAGCAAGGTCCTCATCTTCTGGTTCGTCTCCTTCGACATAACCTTTATCGTTTTCAGTCGACAAATCTTCAAGGTGCACCTCCTCTTTTGGTGTGGCATCTCCTTCGACATCATCCCCCATCTTCGGCACACTATCTTCCGTTCCTTGCATCTTCTTCTTCTCTTTGCAAGACCGATCTTGCATCATACCGCCCATTCTTGCGTTTTTCTCTGGATTCTCGTCTTCAATGGCGGCAAGGCGGACGAAGAGAAGAGATGAGGAGGAAGAAGAAGAGCGTTGTGTGTGTGTGTGTGTGTGTGTGTGTGTGTGTGTGTGTGTGTGTGTGTGTGAGAGAGAGAGAGAGAGAGAGAGAGAGAGAGAGGTTGGTAGGTGGGTGGAATTAATGAAACCAAATTTGGGGCTGGATTTTTCGACCTAAATCCCTCCAAAACACCCAAAAAATTGTGCCCAGACCCCACCCATCTCTCACTCCTCGGCCCCACCAGTACCCTTAGCTCGGCTTCCCCACAACTCAAGCGCGGCTTGTCTCTTTCCCCGAGCCCGTGCCCCAGCCGATCAATCCTGGGCATCCGTCGATGGCTTGGGCAAGGTGGCCCTCCCCTGTGCTCTGAGTTTGTGCACACAGATCTGGGTGTGTGTACCTGACAAGCCAAAACACAACACCAAACCGCGACCAAGTGTAATCGCAGTCCGGGAATGCAGTAAACAAGGCAAGTTCTAAATATCAACCCGGGGTCTAGATCTACTGCTTACTCCGTGATTATCTATTATCTAGCCAATTAAGTCAAGTGATTGTTGTTTTAAGCAAAAGCAGTAAGAAAGCAGGAATTGGTTCGGTTTTCTCAAGCAAAGAAGAGTCACTCGGGAATGAGTCCCCCTAGCTCTTTAGTTAGGTTTCAATTGTAATTACCCTGGGTTGATTTACTGTTGATTAGACTGCAGAAGATCCGACAGTAGCTTGGAATCTCTTAAGCTGACCAAGCCCTCTCAGTCTAACTATCCGGCAGACGACTAGTCTTCACTGGGATAGAAAGCTGAAGCAATAAGCACAGAACTCCACTACTGGAATTGGATTCCAGTACAAAGCAGTAAACTGGCTAACTCTCGTATAGCCAATCTCCTACTAGCGAATGATGAAGCTCTAACAACCTAATCAGATTCTATCTATCTCAGGTTGCAGCAGAAATCAAGAAAAGCTGATCAGACTTTAATCAATTCAATAAAACATGCATCATTCGATTAAAACCAAACAGTATAATCATCCCAAGTCATTACAATCAACCCCCTAACACATGGAACTAGGGTTCTTCATACTCAAGTGAGAGAAGAGTTCTACTCCATAGAGAGAGAGGAAAACAGAATACAAAGCAGTCATACTCATAACAATGGGAAGAATCTGCTCTGGGATGATGATTTCCACTCCTATGACGATCTCCAAGCTCGATTTAATGAAACCCAGCTCCAAGATTGCTTCTAGGATGTGTTCTTCTAGGATGAGTCTCCCTTCTGTTCATCAACCAACCTAGACTTGACTCAACCACTTACTCAAGATAGTCAACTCATGCATAAAACTCAAGACATCAGAATCAGGACCGAGCCATCTAGGTCCTCACCGGGGTAAAGAGTGTAAAGAAAAAGGAAATGAATCGCTCACTCTCGACCAGTGGGGTCAGGACAATTTGATGCGAAAAATGTGCATACTTATTCTCTCAATTCCTAACATCTCTTCACCATGACGGCAGCCTCTAAATGTTAGAGTTCACATAAATGGTTGTCATCACTAACTAATCCGGAGGTCTTAGACACAGGTTCAAGTGACTGGCTAGGGTCTTGGACATGGGGAAAAGGCCTTTTAGGTGGTGGAAGTATTCATAGCACAAGGTTCCACAGTTCCAAACCCAACAAACTCACAGTCAATCAAACCAGTACTTTCTTTCTGCTATTCTGCATTACTCAAATTCTTCAGAGCACAAGAGCGAAGGAGGTTACATAAATGATAGTATTTCCAAGCCAGACTGCTAAGAAACACTACTTAATGGGCACTATTCAGATTTTTGGTGGTGGCTCTCTTTTGCTTTCATTTTTTTTCTTTGTTTCTCTTTCATTTTTTTCCGTTTTTTCTTAAGAGAACCACCACCTCTGCACATTTTCAAACACCTACCCAACTTTTTAAGAACTACCTCCAACTCTCACATTACATTAAGCAGAAACAGCAGAGAACATGTAAAAATCACTCTGTGGAACCTTCTAAAAGTTGCAAAAGGGTGATTTTTCATTTCAGACCGAAAGAAAGGATAACACACGGCTCAAAGGGGCTGACTAGAGGATATGACACATCAGGACAGTCAATTTGGTCGTGGGCTAATCCTATGCCTCCATCATCTTAGCTAATGACAACGTGAATGCTACACATCATGGAAGAGGGAACTATCGCACAAGAAAGAAACGAGCAGGCTCAAATCTCACATGGCTACCTATATGCTCTATCTCTCATTCTGATTCCCTGAACTAGATGCATAAACGACTGTCAAGCACAAGTAATCAATCCAAGTCACAGTTGGTAAGCAAACAGTTGAAAAACTGAACCCCTACACAACTCTACTGCACGTCTCAGTCATCATTATAGGTTGTCCTAGTCACCATCCAGTTGTCATGCATTAATCTGAAAACCATTCAATTCACCAATCAAAACACAGTGCCAATATGATCAAACAGCCGTACTTTGAGCCCTCAAATCTCGAGATTTGGAAAGCGGACTAGGCTCCAAACACACGTATATAAATTCCAACCGATACAAAGCACCCCCCACACTTAAGCACGACATTGCTCT